CGCCGCGTCGCCCTGCCGTGTGCGTCACCGCAGCCTGGGCACCCGCAGCCTCCTCATCCCATGGGGTAGGTGCCACCCATGGGGATGGGGTGCAGGCTGTGGGCAGAGGCCCCTGGCCCCATGCAGATGCCTGGAGGATGCTGGGTCAGACTCTGATGGTAGCTCTGGCCATGGCTTCCTGGGCGCCCACAACCCCTCTCTCTCCTCTCTCCTCCAGGCAGCTCCAAGGTAGCTCTCGGTGTCAGCATCACCATCATACTGCTGCTGACTGTGACTGCAGCCCTTGCTGGGGCCATTTGGCACTACAGGCACAGGTGAGGTCTCCTCCTCGCCAGCTGCACGAGCCCCATTGACTCCAGGCCATGGCAGGTGGGAACTGCTTGGCCAGGGCTGCCTGCCCTTGTCCAGCCTCACTCCCCCCCTTCTCTCCTGCAGGAGCTGAGAGCACGGGACACATCACACCAGGGATGTCCCGGGGCCACATCAGCCCCCTCCACATGTCCCTGATAATAAACCACTAATTAACATCCCCATGCATGTGGGAACTCCTGGTGTGCCAAGCCCAGCACTCACAAGCACATGGCATCACACAGCTCCTGCCCACCCCAGGACAGATGGGAAGAGCGCTGGTGCAGTGCAGGGGCATGCTCACACTCCTCACCCCAGGGTGAAACACCAGGACAGCCCCCCAACATCAATGGGGTGTCCCTGGCCCCAGCCCCTAGTTCTGAGGGGCACTAGGTTGCATATGAACTCAGCCAGTGCCAATGCAGGCTGGGGCAGCAACGCGGCAGGGCAAGGGAGGACCTTCTTCCCCCCGCCCACCCTCCTGAGAGAACATCAGCACCTCCTCACCAGATCCAGGTCCCTGGGACCAGGGGATGGTGACAAACATGTGCGGGGCCACCACACAGCTTGGGGTCATAGGGAACCGAGGCACATGGTCAGCTATGGGAATGGGGTTTGTCTCTCCCCATGGGAAATTCAGCCACACTGGGGCAAACCTGCCTGGTTCAGTGCTGAGGGCAGCAGCACAGAGGGGACAGAGATGTCTGCGCCACGCAGGGCCGGGCACTCTAGGCACGAATGGCAGCAAACAACATTCCTGTCAGGGAAAGTGGATACAGCCCATGGCCAGGCACACACCCACCTGCACCACAGGCAGAAAACAGGGGTCAGGTCACCCGCACCACCCTAGGTGTCAGGGTGCCACTGCGGCCATGGGGGACCCTACCTGCAGCCAACGGGATGGCTTTGCTCCCACCCAAATTCCCCCAGCACTTGTGGCCACAGGCCAGGGTGCCCCAGCCCAGCCTTCCCATCCTCCCATGTGACACCGTGGGCAAGGGGCTCCCCTTTACCTGCCCACTCAGGCACTTGCCCTTGCACCCCTACTCATCCCCCTTCCCACTGTGTCCCTACCCCATCCCCGTGCCCCATCCCCAACGTCCCTCCCTGTCCCTACACATCTCCAGCCCTGGCGCTGGCCTCCTTCCTCATCCCAAACTGCCCCTTCCCTGGTCCCTTTCCCCAGCCCCACCTGTCCCTTCTCTGTCCACACAGGTCCCTTCCTCGTCCCCACATGTCCCGGTGCCCCTACTCCATGAGGTAAGGACAAGATGGGGTCCTGGGGACCCTACACTCTTGGCTT